AGAGGTTAATTCTTTGAAAAAGTTGAAATAAAAAAAGAGAACTTGTTAGAGATGGCATTTACTGTGCTTGTTGTTAATTTTTTTCTTTTTTTTTTTAAGATTTTATTTATTTATTTTGACAGAGAGTGAGAGCACAAGCAGGGGTAGGGGCAGAGGCAGAGGGAGAAGCAGGCTTCCCGCTGAGCAAGGAGCCCGATGTGGGACTTGATCCCAGGACCCTGGGATCATGACTTGAGCTGAAGGCAGACACTTAACCGACTGAGCCACCCAGGTGTCCCTTAGTTTTTCATTTGTACATGTCTTATTCTCTTTAGACTATATACTTCTTGAGGACTATGCTGAAAAAGTGTCTGAAACAGCAGTTATAAAGTGAAACAGAGTTGCCATTAGCTGACAAAAATTAAGATGATGATGATGAAATGGAATTTGTTTTACCATGGAATGAAATTTTCACAAAAAAAATGAACACTATAGAGGACGTGTTCATCATCTATCCGTTTATCTCACAAATACTTATTGAGGGCCAACCACAGTGCCCAGCACTATGGTAGATACTAGGAAACAGTAGAGAGCAATATTGATATAGTCTCTGTCCTTGTGGTATGTACAGCCTAGAAGAGAAAGACAAAGAAATAAATGTAAAATATGATGAATTCTTGTCATAGAAGCACAGATTGGGAGTACTCAAGGTGGGGGGGCATTTAACCTGGTTGTAGTCTTTATGGAGTTTTCACATACAAATAACTTATATTCTTCTCATTTATAGGTGAGGAATTAGTCTCAGAAATTAGCAAGACCCAGGGCACCTGGGTGGCTCAGTCGGTTAAGCGTTTGCCTTCAGCTTGGGTCATGATCCCAGGGTCCTGGGATCAAGCCCTGCATTGGGCTCCCTGCTCGGCGGGAAGCCTCTTCTCCCTCTCCTTCTGCCTACCACTCCCCCTGCTTGTGCTCTCTCTCTCTCTCTCTCTCTGTCAAAGAAATAAATAAAATCTTTAAAAAAATATAGCAAGACCCAATATCCCGTAGGCTCAGACCTGGGCTTGTGACTCTAAACCCAGTGTTCTCATCACTGTCCCACACAGTAGCTAGAGTGCCAAGGGGTATGACATCTGTGGCTGTGCTGTGTCTGCTCCCAGTCTTTTTGCCCTCACCCCAAGCTTATAGCCCCCATTGGCATCAATTAATCATTGGCATCCATCGCAGCTGCCTGGAATCCATGTGGTGTTCTGGCCAGCATGGCCCTAAGTGCTCTTTAACTAGGGCTGGTAATCTAGTGTTCATTCTGGGAGCAGCCCCTGCAATTAGGAAAGGGGCCAGGGGATCTTTCAAGCAGACAGAAACTAAAGAAACTCAGCCAAAAAGCCTTATTAGGATGAGCTATCATGCAGCAGTATGCTCAGTGGTCTGTTTTCCTGTCCTATTAAGTAGAAATCAGTTGCTTCAAAGAGAAAACAACATTGAAGTGTCCAAGTTCATTTTATTTTATGTTTAGTACTATTGAGTTGGACAGAATAATGAACACTGCTCTTGCGCATTTTCCTTTATCATTCTGAATACTCAACTGAATACCCAACATTCCCTGATTCTTCCAGAAAAACGTCTTTCTTATGAATTGTTGAAGCTCTCAGAAATTTCCAAGAGTCTCTCAGGGAGTAGTGTGCTCTATTAAAAACCTGGTAAAATTGAGGAGGTAGTGATAATTATTTCCTTGATTTGTGGTATAGTAGAAAGACCATGGACTTGGGGATCAACCTGAATTAGCTCTTTCACTTTCTAGTTGTGTCAATTTGGGAGAGTTTCTGGACATCCTTGTGCCTCAGTTTCTTCAAAGGATGGTTGTGAGGATTAGAAGAAAGATATGTAATGTAGCTAGTACAGTGTCTGGAATATAATTGATCCAATAAATGGGAAATATGATGGTTAACCCCCCCCCTTTTTTCCCCTGAGAACTCAGTGCAAATTCTAGTATCTCTCTAAACCTGACTTTTCTGGCAATGCTAGCTCCTCAGGACCTTTTCCTTTATTATAAATTTATTTCCTTTTTATTTATTGAGGTATAATTGTCCTAGAATTATATTGTTTCAGGTATACAACATAGTAATTCAACATTTGTATGTATTGCAAAATAGTCACCACAATGTAAGTGAAATAATGTGGTATTTGTCTCTCTCTGTCTGACTTATTTCACTTAGCATAATACCCTCAAAGTCAATCCAGGTTGTTGCAAATGGTAAGATTTTAAGATTTTATTCTTTTTTTATGGTTGAGTAACATTCCATCGTGTGTGTGTGTGTGTGTGTGTGTGTGTGTGCATATATATATATATATATATATATCTTTATTCATCAGTGGACACTTAAGTTGTTTCCATATCTTGGCTATCATAAATAATGCTGCAGTGAACAAGGGGTGCATATGTCTTTTTGAATTAGTGTTTTCATTTTCCTCAGATACCCAGAAATAGAATTGCCAAATTGTATGGTAGTTCTATTTTTAATTTTTTGAGGAAACTATATTGTTTTCCATAGTGGTTGCACCAAATTACATTCTCACCAACAGTGCACAAGAGTTCCCTTTTCTCCACATCCTCACCAACACTTGTTATTTCTTGTCTTTTTGATAATAGTCATTCTGACAGGTATGAGGTGATATCTCATTGTGGTTTTGATTTGTATTTCCCTGATGAGTAGTGGTGTTGAGCATATTTTTATGTGCCTGTTGGCCACCTGTATATCTTCTTTGGAAAAATGTATAGTCAGATCTCCTACCCATTTTAAATTGGATTTTTTTGTTGTTATTTAGTTATATGAGTTCTTTATAGATTTTTGGATATTATCTCCTTATCAGGTATAGATATATGATCAGCAAATATCTCTCATTCAGTAGGTTTCCTTCTTGTGATGGTTTCCTTTGCTTTGCAAAAGTTTAGTTTGATGTAGTCCCACTATTTATTTTTTCTTGTATTTTTCTTGTCTTTGGAGTCAGATCCAAAAAACCCCAAGCCCCCAAAACCCAAAACATTGCTAAGATTGATGTCAAGTAACTTACAGCCTAAAGCATCTAAGATGTCCTGGTATGTAAGCAGTGCCTGGTGTTGGGGACTTTGGGGATTATAGTATGCAAAAGTCAAAGCAGACAGTCATGCACAGTAGATCCTCTGCTATCTACATTCCCACTTCCTTTGTAGGAGACTTAGGGAATTAGTCCAGTCATTGAAGGTTTATAGGGTCCAAAACTGTAGTGGTGGGGTTAGATACAGACAGTGTAGAAGATTGTAAAACATCAGTGAACATGTGGATCTTAGGATAATACTTCTTAAACTCTCTGTACCCTCTGTCTCAAAATCATCTGAAGGACTTACAATAAATACAGATAACTAGAAAATCTGGGGAATGGATCCTGGGGATATCCATTTTAAATAGGATACCGAGAGGATCTTGTATACTTTAAGGTGAAAGAAGAGTGGATAATTCATATTAGATGCCAGGTTGAGAGCCATATCAGAGTCCTGATACGAAGGATCACTGACCCTGTGAAGAAGTTACCTTTTCCTCACTCATTGAAGAGTGGTTTACAGAAAGCTGGTTATGTGAAAAAGAAATCTGGGACAAGGCTTTTGTCCTGGCAGTAGGATTGCAAGATCTCTGTATGGAAAGAGAGTTGAGGTTTCTGGAATAAGAATCAAGGCAAAAAGAATTCCAAGGACAAGAAATGAAGCAGAGAGACTAGGGATTGGGCAAGATATGACAGAGGATTTTTAACAGGGTTGCCTGTTTACCTCCCACTCTCCCCAACTAGGCGGTGGTCTCCCTGAGGGTGGCATTCATAACTTCTTTATCTACATTTCTTTTGTACTTAATATAGGCCTTAGCACAAAGTAGGTGGTGATTCTGCTTTGAACGTAAGATAGACATTAAATGACTCACTTCAGTCAAACTCAGCAAACATTAGTTGGGTATCTACTCTGTGCAATGGCTTAACAACATGGTGGTGTTGTATAAAGTCCTTGTATAAAATATAGTCCTTGCTCTGGAGGAGACCAAGAGGTAAAAAAAAGAATGACCCAATTACAACGTTATAGGAGATGTTGAAGGGGAAATTATCTCGGGAATTGAGAGGAGAGAATCTTTCCCTGGGACGTAACAACTGGCCAGGATGTGTTCTACAGTAAAGGGCTTTCCAAGTGGAGAAAACAACCAGAACAGAGGTAGGAAGGAATGAAAATGAAGGTATCTTGGGAGGTGGTGTCTGGTCTCTAGTGGGTGAGAGCACAGCGCAGATCATGGGTAGTGGGTTCTGGACCTTGTGGATCATACTAACAAGACAAGGTTTATTCTGGAAACATTTGGATTTGTCAAAGTGTTTTAAGGGGTGGAATCATACAATTCAACTTCTATTTAGAAGCTGAATGTGGACTGCATGGTCTAGAGGAGGCAGAGAGGCTAGAACAATCTGGGCAGGGCAGCAGAGTGAGCAAAAGTTTAATTAAATGAATTACCGCTGAGGTACTAATGGTAAATAATGGTTTAAGACAGGTACCCTCTGAGTGAGCAGTTTGCCTTTGAATAGGCTCAACACACCGGAGGAGCTGTGAATACTACAATAGATTTACTAGGTTCCAGGAGGGCACTTTTGGTTGTCTGTTATTTATTCTCCCCACTCCACAGCTGGTTCTTGCTAGCTGACCTGCCCTGAAAATGAAATGCAGTACTATGATCTGGAGGAGAATTCACAGGCTCCAGGGGACAGGTTGCTTTGTGATTTTTAACAATTGACCAGCATGAGCTCTTTCTCTTTACCTTGAAGAGTTCCTCCTCATGTCAAAGCCACTACAAATGAACATTATCTGTCAGGTCTCAAACCACACTGAGTTTTGAGAACAGAGCCAGCAACTTGTCTTTTCCTGAAATGGTATTTGGTCTCAGGACCAGGATTTACAAGTCCAATTGCTGTTATTATATGGATTCTTATTTTTTTTTTAATATGGAACGCTTCAAAAAATAAATATGGAACACTTCACAAATTTGCGTGTCATCCTTCTGCAGAGACCATGCTAATCTCTGTGTCGTTCCAATTTTAGTATATGTGCTGCTGAAGTGAGCACTGGGTTCTTTTTACCAAGTTGTAGTGTCACATTTTCTCAGCTCTGAGAAAAGTTCTTGTTTGGGGGTCAGTAAATGTGTTAGAAAGTTGTGTGAGTTAAAACAAACTTAAAAAGTTATTAAAATTGTTCTCTTTTTCCATTCTTTCATTCTTTCCTATCTACCCCTTCCTCACGAACCCAACAAACATACTCTCTCTGCAAATAAACTCTGTGTTTAGAGAATAACAGAAATAACACATCATATGGTCTGATTTTGCCTGGATTGTGTAGTATTGACATACGAGAAGGAAGGTTGGATCAAAAATAAAAACACCTGGGTTATGTTTCTTTCAATGGCATTAACTAGATGTGTAACCTGGGGCAGTTTACTTCACTTTTCCCAGCCTTAACTGCTATAATATGAAGGAGATGGATTATATTCTATCTCTATAGTTCCTTCTAATTCTAAGAATTGGGGGTTCTATAAGCTACACTGGAGTGATGATGTATTTTTTCATGTGAGTGGGAACATCTTGAGTGGTGCTTTGAAAAAGTGATTCACTTGTGGAATGTGCATTTTTTTTAAAGATTATTTATTTATTTGACAGAGAGAGACACAGCGAGAGAGGGAACGCAAGCAGGGGGAGTGGGAGAGGGAGAAGCAGGCTTCCCGCTGAGCAGGGAGCCTGATGTGGGGCTCGATCCCAGGACCCTGAGATCATGACCTGAGCAGAAGGCAGATGCTTAACAACTGAGCCGCCCAGGCGCCCCTGGAATGCGCATTTGTCAATTGCTTCTTTGGTATCTGTTTTTTCATTTCTACAACAGCCCTCCTTTTTTTCCTTTAGGGATATGTTTTACTTTGGTTAGCTATGCAGCCAGCATGGAATGGACACCATTTCTGACTCCAGAGGTGGATCCTGACTGGCTTAAACCAACAAGTGGGTACCATTCCCTGGGTGAGGTGGTTCCAGGATGAGCAACTAACCAAATTCAGAGGGGCAAAAATTCTTTTCAATGGGGGCTCCCAGGAAGGAGCTTCCTTTGTCTTCTGTGAGAGGTGGTGAAGAGCTTTTCCTCTGCTGGTGTTGTGGGAGAAGCGAGATCTGGAATTACTGCTGCCGTGAGAGAAGCTGAGCAGAGCCCAGAGAATCCCAAAAGAGTCAGAGCGTGGTGACTCTGTGAAGTTCTGGGTCAAACCATGCCTGCAACAGCATAGGACCTTTAAAAAGCTTGTGAGCCAATGAAGTCATGAAGTTTAAGACAGTTCAACTTGGTTTCTCTGTTGCCATCAACTCAAAGATTCGTAATTTGTTTTCTTAAGTGAAACTTAAGATTTCACTAAATATATTTCTGAATACTATTTTTTTACCCCCTGAAATAAAGAAAAAAAATGCTTATTTCTGCATTTTTTTACAGGCAGCTCCTAAATCATCAAATGCAAAATGTTGAAAACAACAAAAATTTAAGAGTCAATGCGAGGTACACAGAAATAGCTTTATAAATGCTTATTGAATGAATGAAAGAATAAATTAGAGGAAAGATAGTATTTCCTGGGTACAAGGGAAAGGGTAGGTAGGAAAGTAGTTAGAAGGTTTTTTTGGGGAAGGTATATGGGATGATCATAAAACCTAAACTGCTGGAATTTTCCATTTTCTTCTCTCCTGAGATGTTGCCTAATGTGTTTTTTTCCTTTCATGTTAGAATTCAGGGAGAAAGAAGGACCTCGGGTCGGACCTGGGGAGTGGCTTGGGCTGCAGGGGACACCAGGCCAAGGGCCCCCACAGCTGTGGTAGCTTGTGGGGGAGGGAAAGTGATGCCCGTGGTCTTCCCAGATGAGTTGGAGAACAGTAGTTCCAGAGAACTGCTGGTTTATATTTTAGCTCTTGCCAAAGGGTTATGAAAATAGTGAAGGATGCTTAGACTACTTAATATTCAAATTGCTGTCTGGTTAATCATATTTAGAAGACTGAATTTCTGGATATCTCCTTCACTCCTTATCTACTGACCTTTAAAACATGATCATGCCTGGAAGCCTGGGTGGCTCAGTGGGTTAAGCCACTGACTCTTGATTTCAGCTCAGATCATGATTTCAGGGTGTGAGATCCAGCCCTTCTTGCTGGGTGTAGAGCCTGCTTAAGATTCTCTCTCTACACCTTCCCCTACCCCCTCCTCCTCCCTAAAATAAATAAATCTTAAAAAAAACCCATAATGCAAACCTATAACCCTGGGAATCATCTATGAACCTTTAAATTACAGTGATTAATAGCATTTGAAACTTCCTCGGGGAATAAACAATGGCACCAGCAAAAAAAAAAAAAAATTCTGTTTCCGTTCAATCTATTGATTAATCTAACAGGTGTTTTATGAGCACTTAAAAAGGTGTCTAGTTAGCAGGGAAGACTGATAAATCAGTACTAATCACAAAGTTGATGAGTATTATAGGAGAGGAAATATAGGGATTATAACAGAGCAAGGGCTCTAACCTAGAGGAGGGTAAGGAAAGCCTCTTCAAGGAAATGATATTTAAGCAGAGATCGGAGCAGGTGCCAGTCAGATGAAGATGGGGAGAGAAAGAAGAAGAGTGTTGCCTCAATGAGCCAACGGCTACAGGGATGGAGGCACCTGTGAGGACCTATGGGAAGTTCAGAATGGATGCAGGCAAGAGGCAAATGGTGAGATAAAGCCACAGAGGCCAGATTTTGTGAGTCTCTAGGGGCCAGGTGAAGGAGTTTGGGCTTTAATTAAAAGGGAGTGGGAGGCTGCTGCAGGGTTTAAGCAGGAGAGCAACAGGGTCAGATTAGCATTGAATTTGGACCACATCTGGCACAGGGGCATGAGGCCCCCTCCCTCCAGTTCTGTTCCTTTATGCGTCTGCACTATCACCTCCGCATCCTCACTAACTGCTGCCTCTTTCCTTTTAAAACACTGGAAACAAGTATGAAGTGGGCACTGTTTGTTTCTAGAACTGGTTACATCACTACTTTTGTAGCAATTTGTTTTTCCCAGTAAATCAAATCTCTCTCTTAATTATAGTTTGGGTTTTCAGTAGCTCTGACTTCTTGTAAAGCAGCACTGGTTTTCAGCTCTTAATCCCATCAGGCAGGCATGGGTTCTATAGTCTTGTGTGGGACTGGCTTGTACTTGGCAAGCAGCTGCCGATGAGGCTCATGCCGTGGCTCGTTTTTCGGGTGTTCTTTTTTGCAGCCAGAACACAGTGCCACCTGGCTCTTCTCTCAGCTATGTGAAGCTGCCTATTCCTGCAGATACCGCTCTGTCCTCTCTCCTTCAGTGGCTCTCCTCCTGGGAATCAAATTAGCCTCCAAAGGTATGAGTAAGTCTTTAGTCCCTTCTTGCAGCTGTTGTGTCCACCCCAGGGCAAGTGCATTACATTGCTTGCTTGCTTTTAAAGTGTTGAGCCTTCTTTCTTGGTCTGTTTGTAAATTCATAGAGCCTCTTATTGCTTCTAGAGCTTTGGATACAGTGAGTGCTGGATAACACCAGTAGAATGACTGCAAGAGGAAAGATAGTAAATTCTGAGTCTGGACTGGAGGGTTATTAGAATCAGTGGTTGGCTGAGAAGAGCTGACAGCTGGGTAGAAAGATGTGAACATTCGTGTTTGGTAACTTGAAGAGCACCTGTTGGATTGGTAACCAGAATCACTGCTCTGAAGTCTACTCAGCACCTAACTTGTTGACTGATAAGGATATACTTCTCCACATCGTAGGACACCACTCAACAGAGAAGGCTTTCACAGGTCCTTTACTGGGCAGTTCCTCCCCCAAATCTCCAATATTATGGAAAGGTTCAAATGAGATAATCAATATAAAATACTTAGAGGAATGCCAGGTATGGTTGAGCAATCAGGCACATGTTATTCTTACTATCGATGTTGCAGTCACTATACAGAGCAGCTTGGCTCTATAGGTGGAGCCGGGATCACTTTTCCTGAAAGCCTATAATCCTTTCACTTACTTGCTGAGCCACTGAATTATGCAACAACTATTTACTGAGTGTTTCAACGTACCAGAAACTAATGCTACCTAGTTGAAACGGGTGCATAAAATTTGCTTTGTTTTCTGAGATTTTGGTTTTCTCTTGAGGCATGTCATTCGTTCAAAAAATAGTTACTGAGTATTAATGGTGTGGTCACCTGCTGTCACTTGTGAATCAAGGGCAAGGGGAGTTGATATTGATGGAGTAATGCATGTTTTTCTGCTTTATCTTAAGAAACTATCATCTACCATGTCTCTGTTTATTCCCATTCCTTACTTGATTTTTTTCTGTAGCACATTGCACCATCAGACATATATATTTTGTATTTTATTAATTTAGTTGTTTATTTTCTGCTTCCCTGCACTACAGTATGAGCTCCAAAGGGAAGAGTTTTTATCCATTTTGTTCCATGTACTCCCAATTCTGAACAGCACCTGGCATAGGTGTCCTGTGATTTTTGAGTGAAATCTGCCCCGCTCTGAAAGCTCTGTCTCATGCTCTGCTTTTGCCATCTTTTCCTTAGACTCTTCTCTAATGGCTGGAGTTGTCTGGTAGAATATCTGGCTATTTTGACTGATGTTGCCTTGCTCTGTAGTGCTTTGCTAATCACACTATCAAGGTATCCAAGTATCTTGGAAAGAAGGCAAAGTGGCACCTGGCCAGTAACTTACTAACCATCTTGAAGATTGGTTTATTTCAGAATCCATCAGGAATGATTCTCACCTGGAAATAATAGCTTTTATTTATTTATTTTTAAAAGATTTATTTATTTGAGAGTGCACGTGTGCAAGTGGGAGATGGGCAGAGGAAGAGAATCTCAAGCAGATTCCCCACTGAGCAGGGAGCCTGAGGTGGGGCTCGATCTTACCACCCATAAGATCATGACCTAAGTCAAAACCAAGAGTCCGATGCTCAACTGACTGAGATACTCAGGCACCCCTGGAAATAATAGCTTTTAAACACATGCTGGGCACCTGGGTGGCCAGGTTGGTTAAGTGTTTGACTCTTCATTTCAGCTCAGGTC